AGAACCACTCCAATCACAGCATTTAATGTCATTTTACATGTAGTGCCGATAGATGTCATCAGAAACTGTGTGGCCGTAAAAGTTGCTAACAGACTCAGATAATCAGCAAATCAGAAATCCCCACACGCTTTGGCTTTATACCGAATCTTTTGGATCACAGAGTCGCCAAACCAAACACTGACTGCTATTTGTTTGCTCAGATGAAGGGTTTGTCCGGAAAGAAATAGGACTGAGTCAATTTAAAAGAATTGATTGAACCAATCATTACAATTTTCAAAAAACTTTCAAAATAGGTTTCTTCCGCGTCGATGCATCGATTCAGCGCTACCAGCGCGATTTCCAAGCATTAAAGGTGTCACGACAGACATTCTCCGGTATAGCCATGAGAGCCGAGATAGATGCTGCTTGGATCCCCTCTGCCGTCTTTCATAGGCTTTTTCAGGCAAGGAAACAAAAAAAGTCCGGTGGTCACATCTGGGCTGTAGGATGGTTGAGGAAGCGTTGAGATGCCGTCACTTCCATACATTTTAAAATTTTCTTCGTCACTCGCCGCAATTTCTGGTCGTTAGCACTTTTGGGGACCATCTTCGCGCACACCTTGCGCATGTTCAAGTGCTCCGTCACAATGTAATGTGCCACAGATTTTTATAAATTTAACACCTGGGAAATCAAACGAATACTTGTCGACGGTCTGAGTTCAAAGCTTTGCGCACACGAGTCTCATTTTTGCTATTTATCGAAGTCGCAGGTCTCCCAGCACGATCTTCATCAGCGATTTTTCCCGATCCTCCAAAAAGGACTGGTGCCTCCGAAACACACCACTTCTTGCTAAATTAAGGTCTGGGTAAGTCTGTCTGATCAGATCAGACGTCTCTTTCGCAGATTTACCGGATTTAACCACAGAATTCAATCGTGTACCTCTGCTCTAACGAACGCTGGATTTTCGGCTTGCACCACTCACAGAAACACGTCGCGCGAGAATGTTTGTTCTGGCTCTCCAGGTGCTCGGAAACAACTAACCATCCGCGCTTTCCTTATCTAGGAACGCCCTCTACCGAATCCAGTCGGTGCGCGCTTGTTCCGAAGTACAGTCGCGGTTCGAAAGAAAATGAGTTCTAATTCTTTCCGGACAAACCCTGTATCTTCAAGGTTGGGTAAAAGTCATTGGTGAAGAAGGGCAGTGTTTTTACTGAAGTATCGAAGCTTGGACGGTTGGTGGAGGGGAACTCTCTACCAACATTTTCAAGCTGCGGTTGCTGTCAATAAGGCAGCTGTAAATCTACTGCTTCGGAGGGCAGCCTCGTTCAGATAAATCTCTGCCTTGAATGGGGAATAATAAACCTCGATATCAATGGCACCGTGTCAATTTTGACTCTCTCTCTCTCTATATCCTTAGTATGACTAGCCTTTCCCTTTTTGTGGGTGTTTTACAGGATGGAAACTGGATGGTCCAAGTGCGATCTCTGGATATGCCATCAAAACTAACATAAACTTGTTACCAATCCAGAACGTCGAATCAAACATATTAATTTATCTCCCGTCAACATTTCTGAGCAAATTTTCAATACCTCTATATTTATGTTCATGGGAAATGTATTCTCTCCAATCGATAAGTATGGTATGTATGAGGTCTTAAACGCTTTAAAGTAGAAAAAGCCGATGAAATGTATAAATGTAATTATCTCACAATATTTACACAACTACGCGCCGTTACTTACGGCATTAATTATTTGTTGGTAAATGTTGAGCTTGTAAATAACCAATTTAATTGACAGCATACAAGTATCCACAACAAAAGTCAATTACATCCTCAAGTTGCGAGCTGTTCGATCCTTTTGTAATATACATATGTATATTATTATATATATATTGGCATATATTATACGAATATGTATGTATGAATGCGCGAGTATGCATGTATGTTCATGAGCTGAATCGAAAAGTTGCCAGTTGCTACAACATACTATTTATTTACTCTGACGGCTTAAAGTTCTCCMCTTCCTGTGAATGGATAGGCTAAARGATCCATCAGACAGRATGATGGGCYTCATMAACGYTRCCGTGTTCTCTTTAGTCTTTTACAGYATTAATTTAACGGGATAATGCTTCTCTGTTTCGTAGCCATTGAGCCGGCTGGYTGGTGACTTCCTTAATGTGACAACGCGCGCCGGCAACTCAACTTTGTAATGCGACAACAATCAACAAAGGATGGTCGTTGTGTGCTCTCACATGAAAGTCATGTGTTTAATTTATTTATTATTATGAGAATTTTAATTACACTTCGATCAATGGCTTGCACAACGTGTGCGTGTCTGATAATATGTCCGTTAGGCGAACGGAAAATAATTGCATGTAAATAACAAAGGCGGAATTCAGTGTGAGAAGCGCTGTTGTTGAAAGAATGTAATGACAAAATTTAATAAGCATATTAATTATTTCATCAGTGTTGTTCATTTATTTAAAAAAAAAAAAAAACTATCAGTGGCGTTGTTAAGTTGGTGTATTGGTAACCGTAATTTCGTTGTAACTTCAAAAATTCCACACAATGGAACATATTGTTTAACATACCGTTATCTTAGAGCAGAACTGGACAATGGACGAAAGCGTGCTCGCATTCACAAAAATTTTGCAAACTTTTGCAAACAGTTCAATCTGCCTGTAAACTACAATACGGTCTCAGAAGTAGCTTTATATGCATGCCCTTTAGATTTCTAGAAACTGACTTTAGTTTTACTTTATCACTTAAGTTATTTTGTGTTCAGTATTTTTATACTCGCGCAATAAGCTATTCAGACTATATTCTGCTTTTTTCAGCTAACGGCTTCAGCGGGTTTGTCCGTATAGACTTTAGACATTACATATCCTCACAAGAAAAAGTTCAACGGTGTTGGGATCAAAAATCTCTTGATTGATGCGATGTGTGGAAAGTGGCGCCATCGTGTGCAATTTCAGACATCAAACATCGGTTATCAAGGCTTCAGTTCTTTCACAAGCTGAAAAAATTATCTCCACTTGGATATATACGTATGTATATTTAAATGATCATGGTGATGAGACGAGCTCGAGTGAGTCTCTGTCCATCCGTCAACTTTGTAAACTACTTATAATGCAATATGTCAAAAAATATTATACAAGAGATAGTTGTCAAATTAATTGAATTTTTTTTTGAGGAAAAAAAAAATGGCGAACTTCCAAAAATGGCGCACTTCCAAAAAAATGACGATTTTACTTAAAAAACCGATTATTTTACATAATTGATCGTGTTAAATCTTTTTCGCGTACTTTTTCGAAAAGTTCAATCAAAAACAAAAATTTTAATAACAAGTAAGGAAGGGCTAAGTTCGGGTGTCACCGAACATTTTATACTCTCGCTTGATAAAGTGATAATCGAGATTTCAGGCGTGGTTGTGAACCGAGTTCACACATATTTGGTACATGTCATCAGTGGTACATGTCATCTGTCCGTCCGTCCGTGCAAGCTGTACCTTGAGTAAAAATTGAGATATCATAACTTGGTACAAGTATTTCTTGGCTTCATAAGAAGGTAGGTTCGAAGATGGGCAAAATCGGCCCACTGCCACGCCCACAAAATGGAAACCGAAAACCTATAAAGTGTCATAACATAAATAAAGATGTTAAAGTGAAATTTGGCACAAAGGATCGCATTAGGGAGGGACGTAATTTTTTTGGAAAAGTGGGCGTGGCCCCGCCCCCTACTAAGTTTTTTGTACATATCTCG